CCCCCCCCCCCGTGCATGGCTGAGGCTATCTCCCCCCCAAGTGCATGTTTGGGTACATGCCCCCCCAGCCCCCGTGCGTAGCTGGGTGCCTGCCCCCTGCCCCCAGTGCCAGCGTGGCCAGGCCTGGAGGTGCGAGGCCTGCTCCAGGCCCGGCCGCTGTGAGGGTGCCCTGCTATTGCGGCAGGGCTAGCAGGGGTCCTGCTAGCTGCACCGGGGCCCCGATGCACGGGGCTGATCCGCTGGACAAGACAGGGAGGCCCCTTCCTGCCCAGCACCTCGTTCACGACCGCAAGGTGCCGGGTGCGACTGAACGGAGTCCATGTACCAGAGACGAGGCTCGTTTTTCTTTCCAGCGGCGGATCTGGCCACTCTCCCGGCAGCAAATCGCACGGCTTTGCTGGAAACATTGAGGTCCAACTTGGCTGCCGTGGAGGAGAAGTTGGAGCGGGATGCGGAGTGGAGCGAGCTGCGGCGCGTGCGGGCTGACGTGGCGAGCCGGGCGACATGGCTGGGCGGTTCTGCCGATGTGACCTGGGAATTTGCGTCCCAAGTGCTGTTGTTGCTGCTGTGCCTGAAAGAGTGCATGGTCCTCTTGGCTGCCACTTACAGCCCGGCTCCCCCAAACCTCCGGACAGCTGAGATGGCTCCTGCCCTGAGCCCCGACACCCTCAGCATTTCCCAGCAGAGGACCGTGCAGTCAGCGCTGCAGTTTGTGATGACCCTGGGCCTCTGTCCGTACCTCTTGCCAGGCGTCGGAGTGCCCCTGCAGCACCGGACGGAGTTCAGTGCCGTCGTCCGAGATGCGGTGTCGCTTGATGCTGCCCCCAGCGCCATGCTGCGGCTCTATGCCAGCTGTACAGTGCTGCTGGAGGTGGCCCAGCACCCGTCCTTGGGCAACCTCCTCCTTACCCGCCATCTCGGGGACCTCCTCGCAGGTCTGTGCCAACTGGGGTTCGGCCCAACCAAGGGGAAGGGCGAGGAAGCAAGGCCACCGGAGGAGCCCAAGGTGCGTGTCCCAGCTAGAATCTCCTGTCTAAACTGTGCACGCAGCCTCTATCTCTTTGGCAGAGGAGAAGCCCTTGTAGAGGCCTTTCTAACCACTCTGTAACAGATCGGAGGATCCCAGCTGCATGGGAGAGACCGTTCTTATCTTTTCATCTGCATGGCTTCTACCAGCACCTGCTGGGCCCAGCGATAATGCAGGATGGGGAATCTAACCAGGGTGGCATGAAGGGCTAGCGACTTGCCAGATCCTTCCCTTTCCCATTCCACTGGTTTCTGGGTATTACGAATCCCGCTGGAGAACCCGAGACTGCCCATCATCTCTGGCTGATGGCTGTCAGAGCCTGGGGCTTGCGTTGGTGTAGGTTCCCTTTCAGCTGCCTCCTCTCCTGGCTTCTCTTCACAGATTGTGTTGAAAAACCGACCTTGAAATAGTTATGAGAAGCCTCATGTGTTTCAGAAACAGCTCAGTGGGCAGGGGACAGCATTTGCTGTGAAAGGCTCCTGGCTGCTGTATGCAGGACTCAGCACCTCTGCCTACATGCAGGTGTGTGCTCCTGTGCTCAGGCTGAGGTTTCCTAGGAGAACAGGGTCTGTGAACCTGTCAGAAGAACCCTAGAGCTGTTCTTTCTGTTAGCTTGTCTTTGAGGTCCGATCTGTGCTGCAGTAGGTTAGTGAGATCAGCTGCAGCGGGTCTGTGTCTAGGGACACAGTTTTGTTCACGTGGAGGCTGGTAGTACCTGCGGAGTACATGGGGTTAAAAGTAAGAGGCTCAGACTGCTGCAAATGGCTCCTGCACTCAGTGTCTGGTGCTGAGGAGGGAACTTTGTTTTCCCCAGTGGAGCACAGGCAACACTGTGGGCAGATAGAGACCATCTCGGGGGGTGGGGGGAGGTATCATGCATTTACCTACACCAGAGTTTCTTTACACTTTGCTGTCCTCTCTCAGAGATGAGGCACGGTGCCTGGGTGCGCCTGCGCCTAGCAGTTTGTGCAGCACAGTTGCTCCTGAACAGCTTTTATTTACATTTGCCTTAATGAGGAAGCTGTTCTGGATGGGGTTTGGAAGGGCGAATTAACGATGATGAGAAGCTGGCTCCTGGCAGCGAGGCTCACCTGGATAGATGCTCAACAGGCCTCTTGCATGGTGCTGCTGGTTCACGAGGGGGCGCCAGCATCCAGCACAACACACACCCTGCGCTGCTTTTCCCACCTAGATGGATATGTCAGCATGGGGACCTGTGGTTTTTTCCAGGGCCTTACAGAAGAGAAGCGAACCCACTGCAGAAAGGCCTTGCAGAGCATCTTGGATCGAGTCTACCAACCCCTTGTTGTTCGGGAGCTGCTCATTCTTCAGGGTGGATCCAGACAGGTACCTGGGCTGCAGCTGGCTCTGTTGCGGATAGAGGTGGAGTCTGGCTGAGACAGCTATTTGCCGCATATGTGTTCCAGCAAGACAAGCTGGGCTGTGGTGTGCTGGGTGGTTAAATCACAGTGAGCCAGGGAAGCTGCCGGGAAGAGCCGTGGGGTTGGGACCTAAGCTGTCAGGCTGTTTGGAAAGTCTTGTTTTATTTTACCCATGCTGTGTGGCAGGGAGGGATCACAGCAATGGCAGCAACCTGTCCTGGCTGCAGCGTTCTGTTGTGCAGAGTGGAGCCTCGGTAGGGGAATTGGCACTCTGTCCCAAGCATGTGCTGGTGACTGATTCCTCCACCCTGCCGTTGGCTCTGCTCCGTGCCCCAGACACTAGTTATAGCCTAGGGCAAAAACAAATGACGTCCATGTTATGGCTGAGAGTGTAAAAGACCCAAGCATGCAGTCAATTGTGATGCCCACGGCAGCAGTGACTGTTGCACTGAGCACCAATCTAATGGAGGACCTCGGAGGCAGTAAAGTAGCAATAAAAATACCAGGTGGGCTGCCTGCCGCAAGGCAGAGCTCTGCTACCACTGGGAGAGCTGCAGTTTGCACTGTGTCTCTTCTTGCGTGTTTGGGTCCTTGGTTACCATACAGCAATTCTCAGCTCTCGGCCGACTGCCTTGGTGCACTGTCCTTCCCAGAACTGTGTGTAGTACAGCTTCTCATACTCTGACTAGTCTGTAGAAGTGCCTGGCGATGCCTGGTTTGTTGCGTAGCAGGCGGCTGGGCCTGCCCTAGACCGGAGCTCCCAGGCTGTGTGCGCATCCTCGGTGGGCTTCTCTCCCTGCCAGGGGCGCAGCAGTTTGGTGTTGCTCACACTTCCATCGGGACTGGCCTCCTGGGACAGGGTCTTATGTCTTGGAGCTCCATTTCACAGTGTCAAACCACCCTTGCCTGGTCTTTAGTCCTGCCTAGGGGTGGCTTGAGATGTACTGCCCTTTACAGGTGTGTTTTCAAGGGCCAAATGGGGTGTGTTTGACCTGATTTTGGTTTGTTCCCAGCTTCCTGGAAATGACTATTTCCTGGCAGCATGTGGCAAAAGGCATTGGAGCTAGACACCTTTGTCTTTACTCCTGTAAGCCAAGAGAGGTACTGTGTTAGTCTGAAGTCAGGCAGAAGGCAGGTTAGAAATGCACCTTCTAGACTAACAGAATCAAAGATGCATAAGCAACTGCTCACTGGCATATGATGAAGTAAGCTCTTGCTTGTGCATCTCTGATTCAGTTAGGCAGTCTATAAGGTGCATCTCTACCCTATCTTTTCCTCCCAAGGTGCTGTTCAAACGAGGTCATGGCTGCTGGTGGAGCAGAGGGTTGTCAGCTTGAGCAGGCCAAGGGAATTCAGTAAACAGAGGCCTGGTGCTATCATGGAGCCAGGGTCTGAGCCTGGGTCTCAGCACCCCAGTGCATGGCATTGTGCTCCCTGTGCACAGCACAAGGTTGTCCCCAAAAGTGGGGCTATATTTTCAGACCTGAGGTCGATGCTGCTAGATTTAGAGTGGAGATTTCCGATGAGGGGTTCCCTTTGTTAGCCTAATGGGAGGGAACATGGAAGGATGCACTCACCAGGTCATGCTTGCCCCCGGGTACAGATGGAGATCTGTAAAAGGTTCTTCACTTCCTAGAGTCCTTAAGAGGCTGGAATGAGCTTCTTTGCAGCACCAGCTCCATAGTATTATGCTGATCCTTCACTCAGATGGGCTAGTGTCATCCCAGGGTGTTTAGCTCCGAGCTGCCGCCATGGAGGGAAGGCAGCTGCTCATTAAAGAGAGCTGTCACTCAGCACTCTGCTCCCTGTCCCTCTGGAGTGCTGGGATAAAAGCAGCATGAAAGAACCATCTATTGAGGCATGTGAGGTGTCAGATCTCATTAAAGAAAGCAGCTGGACTCTTCTCAGCATGCTGAGTAGCCTGCAACGCCAGTGGCCTTGAATCTGCAAGGATTTGCTCTTATTGAATCTTCCTTCCTCCACAAACACCCTGTTTATTTCACTGGGCTGTGTAATGTGGAAGGGAGGGCTGCCTTGTTAGGAGGGAGGTAATGGGGTACAAAGAAAAGAAGGTAGCCTCACTCTCATCAGTATTTCGGGTGATAGAGGTGATGCTGTCTGTGCTGGGGGGTGGCACGCCTGGAGGCTGAAGCTGCAATGCAGCAAGGCATTTGCTTTTCCTGTCCTAGCCACAGAGCCAACGTAGTCTGTGCCATCACCTCTGAATTGCCATGTCCAGCGATAGCCGGAGCTGGGATTACACTGCCCTTGTGTGCATAAAACCTTGATTCATCCTGAGAACCTTTTGTCTCTTGGTAACGAGCCTGTCAGCGCTGCTGCATGACCCCTGGAGACTTTAATTAAGGAAATAGTTCTGTGTGGAGAAGAGGCTCCTGGGATCCACATCCCATCTAATTAAACCCTAATTATCTTTGTGCCACTGGGTGGTGAAGTGCGTGATTGAAAATCCTCCCGCTCCTCTTCCTACTATCACAGATAAATTAAGGTTCTTTAGGGCAGGGAGTGTGCGTTGCTACCAGGAGTGTTGCACAGCTCTGGTGCGGTACCTGGGCTGCCTAACCTGCCCATTTCCATGTCCTGACAGAGCCTGCGCTCCCCTGGAAAGGAGGCACAGCGGCCCCAGGCCCCTGCCTGGCTTCGGCGCCTCTGTGGACAGCTACTCTCAGAGAGGCTGATGAGACCCAGTGGGGTTCAGGCTGTGGTTCGAGGCATCCTGGAAGGAGCAGGCAGTAAGTAGGAAGGGTGGCTGAAAATCCTCTCACCTGAAAAATAAGCAAAATGAGAAGCAAGGACAAAAGCCCCTGTGTTTACAAATCCCTGTTGTCTCTTGTGTGACCAGTAGCTTTGCTTTAAGGAGCTGCGTTCCTGATGGTTTTATCTGCTCCTGTTTCCGTGGAGGGCACTGATCTGTGGGAACAGAGCTCGAGGGAAATAAAAGATGCAAGTTCTCTAGTCTAGGAGATCTCAAAACCGGAACCGCTCTCCTCTGGCCTGGCCAGTCAAGGAAGCAACTTCTCTCTTAGACCAGACAAACATACCAGTTGCAGGGCAGCTCATGCATCCTAAAGCCCCTTACAAACAGTTTCATGTTCTGTGGATGGCTCTTGTCGAAAGCCTTGAGATTTCTGCCTTCTCCAGTTCTTCACTCTCGGGTCTCTGCGTGGAGAGGTTGATTGCTGTTTCCTTCCCGGTGTTGGATAGCAGTGATCCCTTCCCCCAGCAAGCAGGTCTGTCTCCTGAAAGATGCTCGGACTGAGGAGACTAAAAACAAATGTCTATCTTTTGGTCTTAACCATCTGGCTCTGGTGCCAAGTGGAGTGGGTATTTGGCATCTGAGTCTAACTGGGGCCTCTGTTTCGCTCTCCTTTTCTTTCAGCTGGGGCCGCAGGTGGCAGCAATGCTGAAGCCGCAGCTGCAGACTGGAGGAAATGTGACATGATTGCCAGGATCTTGGCTTCTTGTCCCCAGCAGTCCCTGTCCCTGGAGGATTACTACAGGCAGGTGTGCCCTCAGGTATGTTCCTCATTCACTTCCTCACCAGGGCACATCAGTGCTGTCCATGATGGCCAACTTGTTTGCTCCTAATACTGCAGTACAAAGTGGTTTCGCCCCGTGGTCAAGGAACAGCGTGTAGCATGGCTCAACTGTAGGTACGATCCAATGTGAACAGGCTTGGCCAGGGCGGAGGAGCATGTTGCTGGCAGTCTGTAAGGAGAGACATCCCCCTGTGTGTGCGCTCCACAGTAGCTCCTCTGCATTTTCCTGCAGTGCAGAGCCCCACATTTGGGTATCTTTTATTAGGATCTTTAATTGCTGGCATATTGATGGAGTTATTGGTGATAGACAATACTGTGCCACCAATAAGGCTGTTGGTCCCATTGACTTTTATACCTAGCATAAAGCAGAAGGGGATAACAGTGGAGAAGAGATGAAACAGGTGGAAATTAACCCGGATGATAAGAAGGATGGGGAGGGGGACTCTGGGGGAAGGGGCTGTTATCAGCCTCCTGTAATAACCACTCTTCCTCGAAGCACCCATGTGATCAGACCAGCATTGTTCCCAATATGAGAGAGGGCCTTTCCCTGCCTTGCATTGAAACTAGTAGTCCAGCCTACTTCAGTCGTCGGCCTAGATCTTTTTTTTCTAATACTGAAGAACCAGCCCCTCGGCTGCTGCCAGCGCTGGGCTTCAAGAAATGCCCCTTTGGGGAGCTATGGCATAGTCCCAGTCCATGGCCCTCAAATTGCTGCAGGTACCAGGGCCCTAACTGATCCTAGGAGAACTCCCCTTTCCCACCCTCCGCTGCAGGGTATATCGGGAAGGAGACCTGTCTCCTCCTAGGCTTGACACCCAATCGAGCCCATGCTTGTAGGGTTCTCCAGCCTCCTTCTGTTGAGTGGATGCTGACTGTGCTCTGGTCTTAAGTGTTGCTGCCCTGGCACAATTTGCTAAGATGCACTTTCCCTTCCAGATTCTAGACTTGCTGCACATTCGGGAAAAACTGACAGCTCGCCAGTTCCAGAGAGTTGCCACCACTACCCTTCTCACCATGGTGAGGGAGCACCCTCAGCTAGCAGAGCAGTACCTGCTCCGGCCCATGCTAGAGCCCCTTCTCCGATGCTCCGATAGAGCAGGTAAGAGCCTGTTGCTGTTGGCTCCGTGGGTGGCAGCAGACCAGGCCAAATCCCATGCTTGACTGGCTTCTCTTTCCATCCTCCGTTCCCTGAACCTGTCATCTTCAAGCTGAAGGGTATATTATCCATCTTCCTTTGAGGATTCACTGTGATTGGCCCTTGGCTGCTCACTGCAGCCGTGGACTGAACACGTAGAAAAAGTTGCTAGTCCAGGAGGTCTTTGTTTCTGTGACATGCTCGAAGCTCGGCCGTGCTTGGGCTGAGCAGGGAATAGAACAGCTGCTGTGGCTGGACTGGAGATTTATTACTGACTCCCATTCCCATCCCCAGGGTATTTCTGTGCTCGGTTCTCAGAGGCTGGAGGAATGGGTGTTTCCTGGGTGCTGGTTATCACTACAGGGGCAGGAGGAGAAGAATTGGTTTGTTACAGCAGATGTGGAGGTAGAAATTCCCTCCCTGGACCAAGTTACCTGCTCTGTTTCCTGGTAGAGAGTAGCTCCCTGCTTTGCCATGTCTTCCACTGCTCGACTTGAACACTGGAAACTGGCAGCGGGGCTTCGACCAGCTGAGAAGACCTTGCCTTTCAGTTTGCTGGGTCCTCAGCCAGGGAATGCTGGCAGCCTGCCACAAACCTAATAGCTTTCCAGGCAGCTCTTCTCTAAGTGCGGGTGCAGAATGCTGATGAGTCAGTAGTCCTTCAGGCCTGCCACAATGGTGTCAGGTGCTGGGGCCTACTGAGTTTTTTTTTTTTTTTTTTCGCCTTTTTGCTCTCCTCCGTTTGGTCTGCTCCCTGATCTCATGCATTTCCTGTGACTGCAGTACCAAACTGCAGTGAGATGTGTGACCATTGCCTACCTTTGGCTGGAAGCTACAGGGCAGGGGGCAGTGGAGGGTTGATGCTCCTGCTCTGTCTGCTTTCAGAAATGGCAGTGGAAAACTTACCTGCAGGGACCGTATTGGTGAAAGAGGCAGAGCTCAGCAGGTGTGTGGAAGATGTGTTCAAGGTAAGGTGGAAGAGGTGGGTCTGGAGTCATTTGCCTGAGGGTAGCTAAGGAAACTGTTTCAAGAGTTGGTCTTCAAGTCTGGGACCTTGTGAATTCCTTGGAGTGGAGGCTCTTGGCTCAGGAAGCACTGCAGTGCAGACATGATGCTGTGATGAGGCCTGGAGTTGTGCATCCTGTATCCCCTGCAGAATACTGCCCCATCGAGTCTGCTGACAGGCACCTCCATGACCCTTCCAAGCACTCGTGCCCATACTGTCACCAGGAGAAGACACCAAGCCCCTTCAACACATGAGTACCTACTGCTCTGCTCTTTTCCCAGGAGCTAGTATCATCCTGGACCCACTGTGAAAATGAAACTGGCTTTGTTCTCTGGAGCGAGTTCAGGCAGCAGGTCATAAGGACAGAGCGACTGTGCCATCCTTAGGCGAAGTGTAACTAGACCTTTCAAACCAGTCCTACATCATCCAAGGCTTTACCCAGGTGGTATTTGGTGATAGTGTCAGTAGAGCTCTACAGAGTCCAAAAGCTGAGTGAGCTTGCAAAGCAGCTCTGATCTAATGCAGTGAGCAACAGGCAACCTGACCTGGAGGGATGGGTCAGAAGGGGTGGTTTGCTGCTCAGCTGAATCATCCTGAGTGAGTGCATTCCCATGCTCACCTCTGCTTTGCAGCCTCAGTGGGTGAGGATGCTTTTACCCACCAGCCTTGCAGAGCATTTAGGCGCCCAGTTAGCAATGGTAGAGCACTTCTGCACCCAGCAAATGTGTGGTGTTGATAGGGGATCTGGACCCCATACCCAGTTCTGCAAATGCCTAGCTAGGATCACAGTCATAGATTTAATAGATTTGCAGGGTCAGAAGGGACCTCGGTAGATCACTGAGTCCACACCTCGCCCTAGGCAGGAAAGAGTGCTGGGGTCTGATGACCCCAGCTAGGTGCTTGTCTAGTCTCCTCTTAGACTCCAGAAATTCCCTCCCTGGACCAAATCACCTGCTCTGCTTCCTGGTAGAGAGTGGCTCCCCGCTTTGCCATGTCTTCCACTGCTCGACTTGAACACTGGAAACTGGCAGCGGGGCTTCCACCAGCTGAGTAGACATTGCCATTCAGTCCTCTGGGTTCTCAGCTGGGGAATGCTGGCGTTCACCGTATAGCTGTGGTGGAGTGTGAGTGGGTGGGTGAGGTCCTTTCTGCCCGTAGCTCATAGTGGATGGTGATGCATCTTTTAAAGTCAGCGAATAAAATGCCCTTGGCTTGTAGTTAGGAAACAAGCAAATTTGTGCCCCTTAGGGACTGGTGACCTGTTCCTGGCAGGGAAAGTGGGATTGGAGGATGTTGTGTGTTCAGAAGAGAAGAGAAGGAAGGGTTTGAAGGAAAGCAGCCTCCTGCCTTCCTGTGGATGAGACTGGGGCATGTGTGTTTGCTTGGATGGGGTGTGGGGGCACCAAACGCACAGGGGGCAGGGCAGCCGCTTACAGACGCCCTTTGGAGCAGGCGTTGGATGTAAAATATAACAAAACCGTAGAGGGCAGCAGTTATCTTAACTGCGAGGCTCTGGCAGCCCCAGCAGTTACACTCTTCCTCCGTTCTGTATCTGGAGGGTGGGGGGAGAAATGTCACAAAGGAGACACTGTTCCCGTTAGTGCCCAGCATTGCACTGGTATGTGTCCCAGGCAGGA